AGGCTGGCAGGAGGGAGATGATGTACTTGCTGAAGTTGAACAAGCTATTTGCATGCTGAATATTTCTAATTACTGAGCAATGCCAGCAGAATCTGAACATTATTGCACTCAGCTGCCCAGTGACCTTTCAAACATACTCACTTTAATACAAAACAGAGTGGCAAAACGTATCCAGCACTGAACCTGCAAAAAGGTACAAACGGAGTTCAAGGAATGTTTGGACGATGCTCTTAGTCATATGGTTTAGTTTTAGGTAGTCCCACGAGGAGCAGGGATTTGGACATGATGATCCTTATGGGTCCCTTCCGGCTCAAGATATTCTATGATTCGATGACATTTTAAAGCAATTCTAGGCACCAACTATGCACACCATTAAAAAAAAAAATTCCAGAAATATTTATTAGCAAAATCTATCTTCCCCTTGCCTTCTGCCATATTCACTTGCATTATGCATGGTTGCTTGCATTATGCATGGATTAATAAAATATGACAGACGTCTGCTTACTTTTGGTCTGATCACAATCAGCTTATCCAGCAAAGCGCACACACTTCGTTTCAAGCACGTTTTCAAGTCCCAATGGACTTCAATGGGATTTGGGCCCTGTCCTGTGACCCTCCAGCCCCAGCCACCACCTTCTGGACACTTTTGGTCCAATTACCCAGCTGGCCTCTGCATTCAGACGGCAAGCTGATTGGCAAGACACTTAAATAAACTTTCTTTACAGAAACGTTTTCAGAGGCTGCAGCTGAGCGGAGCTGGGTCTAAGCACCAGTCACAGCCTCTGGAGAGCAGAGCAATGCGACCTTCAGGAATCTCTGGCCTTCTAAGGCTTTTAAGTAGTCATTTTTCCCTGTAACCCCAGATTTACCATAAAATTTAACCAGCTGATGGGAGACCACTAGCTACTGGTGGATGCTTGACACCAGGACAGCATCTTGCGTGAAGCCAGCCACCCTATACTTGTTTTAGAGTGCAGTACCCACAGAGAGAGTTTGGAGATCATTTCATATGGCCCACAACACTGGCCAACAGAAGTTGAGCTGAGGGCACATCTCACGTCAAGAGTGACTGCTGTCATTCAGTGCCTGTTTCAGTCACTGACCTGTCAATTTGTAGCAGACACAAGCCTATCTCACAGTGTGCTATCACCCTCCATGAGGAGGCCAAGAAGTGGAAGGGCACAGAGCTCTGATGTCCCTTTCAAGCCCAGAACCACCATAGCTGCCAAAGCAAGGTTGCTCTCCACTGGAACAAGGCAATCAAGGAAAGTCCAAGAATTCTGATCAAAATTAGAGCTATTTTTCCCAGTGACAGAAGAACAACAGAAAAGACAGATCATTAAAACCCAGCTCTTTCAACAGTTTTTGGGGACTGGCTTCTGTTCTAGGCAGTGGATAGTTAAACTCCTCACAGTATTTTGCTGAACCTCCTGCAAAGAATGACTCTGATGCTCAGTTGTAGTTCTCTGGTTACAGCACCAACATTTCTCCCAGCTAGAGTACTGGAAAATGTGGATAAACTGATTTATCACAGCCAGCCAGAAGTGACTGAGGCATCACATAACATGCTTGAAGGAGCAGAGACTGCAGGCTTTCACAAAGCTCTTGTGCTATTTCTTGTTCCCTTCTGCTCCAATTTGAGTACTCTCCCCAGCATAGTACAGAGTAGCCCCCCACTGGCTGGTGTTTCTGTCAGTTCTGCAGCAGCTCAGATGTCCCCCTGAAGAAGTGACAGATTCTTCAGGGTCTTCCAGAGGAAGTGACAACTGGAACCCATCAAATTAGCTGCTCCTCCCATTGTGCTACTGGCCACAAGCCCTATGGAAAGAGCAAAGGCAAAAGCTTGTCCCAAGAGTAGGACCACAGCCAGGACGCCCAAGGAGGTCCACACTGAAAAATGGAAGTGGAGACTCTGAAGGGCACTTCTTCTTCCTCCCCACCTTTCTGATGCCTCAAGGCCAGACCCTTTTGGCTGGGATTCTACTCCCTTTTAGCAGTGTAGGAGACAGTAATATGCAGACACATAAATGAGACCTGCTAAATTCTTACACATGCAGCCAGCCCCCCACTAATTGTCCCAGTCCTTTGGCAACATCACCTGCCAACAGGGAGAAGCCAACAGGAAGATAGCTAATGGGCAAAAGCAAAATAAATCTTTCTTACCTCCTATAGCAGTGGGTGCAGAACTGAATCTCCCATTGAGACATGGACTCACAGCACTGACTTGGTATCCTCTTGACATCAGTAGGGAAGATGACTACATTGCTATTTTAAAGCAAATCCCCTCTCACTCCAATGTTTGTCAGATTGGCCAAGTCTTGAGCCCCGTAGGGTTGGGTGTTCTAAAATGCTTGTGTGAAGGACTTTCAAGAACTCCCCAACAGGAAAAGCACTGCAGTCCCCTTGAAACTTGCAGGGCGTAGTGAAGAATAGGTCGTTGGTATCTAAACCCACTCACTACTTTGAAATCCCGCAGAGACCTATGCATTTTGCAAGTTTGTCCCAGCATATACTCAAAGGCAAGAGGGGACAGTAGGAGAGGGAGAAAATAGAGCCTTTGATATTCTTTGAAATACAAAGCACACATCGGCTCTCTGGGCTGGCAACCTGCTTCATTAAGTTGAGCTATCATATGTGGAAAGGAGCAAATACTAGACTGAGATTCAAAACCTACTGGAGATTAGGACTTTGCCTCCCTGGAAGACAGACGGTCCACGCAGAGGATAAACGTTCTCAGACCTACCTGGGAAATTGCCTTCCAGTCCAGTAAAAAGCCAAGCCTCCTCTCCCCCACAAAAAAACCCCCAACATACACATTTTCCTCATAATGCAGGAAGAACAAGATGGATACTTTTCAAAATGTTTTTTAATTAAAACCAAAAAAAGGAGCACACACCAGAGCTTGACATGGGCTAGTGAAACTGCTGGTCATTGGGACGTTGAACTGGCATGAGGAAGGCTGTGTTTCTGCGTAACTCAGGAGCACCCGCACGGACACTGGGACTCCCGGGAAAGTACTCTGCCTGCCAGGCTACTGCTGCTTTGTGCTGAGCAGATCTCTCTCATGTGGTGATGGGAAACTTCATCCTGGAGCCCAGACTCTTTTTCCAACAGACAGACAGAAGTCCCGGAGACTGGGGAAAAGACCATTTCAATGAATCTGCATTTTCCAAGCATTTCTGGAGAGGATTCTCAGTCAGTTCTCCTGCCTCCCCCGGCAGGTTACACAGGTTTAAATGGAGACTCATCTTTGGCAATAGCCACACTGGTAGGACCCAGCTCTCCTTCTGCTGAAGTCAATACATGTCCTTTCCCTGGACCATAACCGCAGCTGCACCGGGGCTCACGATCACTAGCCAATTGTGCTTTAAAGTTAAATCCTCATCCACTCCATCTAGCCAGCAACTTCTGAGAGCTTCTTCAGGCTCATGTAAGTGTGTACCAGTAAATTTAGGTAAATGTGAACATCTTGGCTACAGCAATGCGGTGAAGTTTTCAAATATGCCCAAGAGATGGCGAAGGCAAAGCTTTGTTTTAAGACATGACTTGGGCTGTAAATCAGGTATCGAAACCTCCCTGCCACCTAATAAAGCAGTTTCCAAAGCTGCTGGTGTGTTGCTCCACCAGCCTGGTTTCTTTACCAGAAAGGCTGGGCTAAAAAAGTGACACATTTTTCATATACAATTTTTATCTGTTAGAATTTACTAGATATGCGCCTCATTTGTCTGTCAAATATTTTCAAAATACTTCAACCTGCTCTAATAATCACATTTTAAAACATGCATCAAGTTTGGATCAGAACAGCTTCTCTGGGATAATCAGTAAGCCCAAATTGCTGATTTAAGGCCTAAATATCAGTCACTGGCCAGCCAGCCACAAAAAGTTACTCTATCCTTGAACTCTTGGAATTATTTTTGGCTCAGACTAACCCTTGTTACCATACATCTTATCCTACACACAAAAGGAAAGCGTATGTGTTTTTCAAGGCTACTGTTGCACCACAAGTTTACATACAAACACAAGTTCTGCAAACATGAGACCAAAATAAGATCTCATATGTCCCAGGGTAAGTCAGAAAGTCCACAGGAGTCAAGGGAATGGTAACTGCCATAAAGGATCAGGCCTAATACATGCATTACAGAAGCAAGGTAGCTCCTTTGCTCAAGGTCTCACTGATTCACTTTGCACATACCACTGCTTTAGCATTACATCCTTATCTAATGGTAAACCTGTTTCAACAACATGCAATACATATTAATGCAATATGCACTGCAACACACAATACGCATCCGAAGAAATATGCCAATGCAAAAATCTGACTTCTCACACATAGCAGGGCTAACAATGAAGAGCCTTTTACAAAAGACAATCAAGAAATCACCTGAAATGCACGAGACCCGAGGGGCCTCAAGCAATCTGCAATACTGAGACCTAATAACAGATGCTAATTCATGAAAGAAACACAAACAGTGGGACTGAGGTAATGGCAGAGATTTCATTAGTGCAATTAACATTTATAATGGTATGTTCTTTAATAGAATTTAAATAAGGCTTTGAATAATTACACACACTAAAACTAACATTCCATAACCTTATTCCGCGTGGAAAAGCAGCAGAAACAACCCTCTGGACTGTACAAGGTCCAATTATGAACAATTACATTCAAAAAGCAGATCAAAACAGAAACAACTCTTTCCC